GGCCATGTGGCCATTGGTATTTCCTCCTTTGCAAAATGTCTATTGAGGTCCTTGGCCCATCTCTTAAGTGGGTTGTTGGTTTTGTTTTTGTGGAGTTTCTTGATCTCTTTGTAGATTCTGGTTATTAACCCTTTATCTGTTGCATAGTTTGCAAATATTTTTCCCATTCTGTCGGTTGCCTCTTCACTCTCCTGACTGTTTCTTTTGCAGTACAGAAACTTCTCAATTTATGCAATCCCACATGTTTATTTTGGCTTTGACTGACTGTGCTTCCAGGGTCTTTTCCAAGCATCTTCGGTCTTTGCCTGTTTCTATATCTCGGAGGTTTTCTCCAATGTTCTCTAATAATTTGATGGTGTTGGGTCATAGATTTAGGTCTTTAATCCATTTTGTGTGTATTTTTGTGTAAGGTGAAAGGTACGGGTCTTGCTTCATGCTTCTGCACATGAATGCAGCGTTTCTAGATCCTTGAGATGCATTGAAAGCTCATTTATTTGGTGCCTTTCCATTTTCTAGATGTAGGCACCTATTGCTATAAACTTTCCTCTTAACACTGCTTTTGCTGTATCCCATACGTTTTGATATGTTGTGTTGTTATCCTCATTTACTGCCAGAAATTATTTGATTTCTTTTTTGATTTCTTCTATGACCCAGTGTTCATTCAGGAGCATGTTTTTCAATCTCCATGTGGTTGCATATGCTCTAGGGATTCTTGAATTGCTAATTTCCAACTTCATTCCACTGTGGTCTGAGAACTGCATCATATGATTGTAATTCTTTTGTATTTACTGATACTTGCTTTATGGCCTAGTATGTGGTCAGTTCTAGAGTAGGTTCCAGGTACTGCTGAGAAGAATGTCAATTCTTTAAGTGTAGGATGAAAAGTTCTGTAGATATCTGTTAGATCCATTTGGGCTATAGTGTTGTTTAAATCTACTGTTTCCTTGTTGATCTTCTGTCTGGTTGATCTGTCTGTTTCTGAGAGTGGAGTATTGAAGTCCCCCAGTACTATTGTATTGGAGTCTAAGTCTCCCTTGAAGTCCCTTAACATATCTTTTAAATAAACCAGTGCCCTGTAGTTAGGTGCATATACATTTATAATAGTTACATCTTCCTGTTGAATTGATCCCTTAAGCATTATATAGTGCCCCTCTTTGTCTCTCTTAACAGTTTTTCTGTTACAGTTTATGTTGTCTGATATTATGATGGCTATGCCCACTCTTTTTTCATTTCTATTGGCATGGAATATCTTTTTCCAGCCTTTCACTTTCAGTCTGCCTGCATGTTTGTTGGAAAGATGTGTTTCTTGTAAGCAGCAAATAGATGGGTTTTGTTCCTTAACCCATTCAGCCAATCTGTGTCTTCTAACTGGAGAGTTGAGGCAATTAACGTTCAATGTGACTATTGATAAGTAGTAACTTTGCCCTGCCATTTTCCCAAAGATATTTTCTAATATATGCTTTGAACTTTGTGTGATCTTTTACTCTGGTTTTCTTCCTTCTTTCATATTGATGACTGCGATTCTGAGTTTCTGTGTGTAATACATCTTTAAGTAACTTTTGTAGGGCTGGAACAGTGGCGACCAATCCTTTCAATTTCTGTTTGCTATGAAAAGTCTTTATTTCACCTTCATTCACAAATGAGAGTTTTGCAGGATATAATATTCTGGGCTGGCAGTTTTTCTCTCTTAGTACTAGGGCTATGTCTCGCCATTCCCTCCTAGCCTGTAGTGTTTCTGATGAGAAGTCTGCTGTGAGTCTGATTGGAGATCCTCTGAGAGTAATCTGATACTACCCTATTGCACATTTTAAAATCTTTTCTTTATGTTTCACTGTGGTGAGTTTAATTACGTGTCGTGGTGAGGATCTCTTTTGGTCATGTTTTCTAGGGGTTCTATGAGCTTCCTGTACTAAGATGTCTCTGTCCTTCTCCAAACCCAGGAAGTTCTCTGCTAGTATCTCAATAAAAAGGCCTTCTAATGCTTTCTCTCTTTCCATGCCTTCAGGAACTCCTAGAACTCAAATGTTGGGTTTTATTTAATAGTACCCTGTAGATTCCCAACAATATTTTTTAGATTTCTAATTTCCTCTTCTTTTCTTTGGTTTGGCTGTATGTTTTCCTGTTCTCTGTCTTCTAAGTCTGATATTCCCTCTTCTGCATCACTGACTCTGTTTTTAAGGCTCTCTAATGTGTTTTTCATTTGATCTATTGAATTCTTCATTTCATTTCAATTTCTCTTCACTATCACAATTTCCTGTTCTACTAGTTCTTGCATTTCATTTCGATTCCTGCTTAAGATTTCCTTTTCACAAGAGAGATTTTCTATCCTGTCCGGTAAGGATTTCTGCAGTTCAAGACTTTGTTTTTGAAAACTTCTACATGTTCTTATCATAATTTTTTTGAAATCCATATCTTGCATTTCTTCTATCTCATCATCTTCATAATCTTGTATTGGGGTGTCTTGTTCATTTGGGGGTGTCATAATGTCTTCCTTGTTGTTGTTTCCTTGGTTTCTGCATTTGTTGCTTGGCTTTGTGGAGATATTCATTGGTTTCTTCTTTCCTCGCTGTGGAATTTTTTTCTCATTCTACTATGACTCTATTAAATGGACTGTCTGCTATTTGATGGATCCTTAGAGGCTTCTGATGGGTGTGGCCAGAGAGCTCTGTTTGGTTCTTCAGGGTTAAGGGTGTGTCAAATGTGACACACCCAGGTTAGGCATAATACATCTCTCTCTCTCTCTCTCTCTGATTCAGAAGGGAAGTAATTCTACACAGCTTCCTTTTCAGTACAGGTGCATAGATTCTATGGCTAGGGTTCTGAGCCATGGGCACTGGTGCCCTCCACATAGGTCCCCATGAACCAGTAGTTCCAGAAGAGTTTCCTCTGCTGTTTCTTCCCTAACTCTTCCTTGAACCTGCAGTATCTCCACTTTTATTAAACTGTCTTTTCCCAGACTATCGATGTGCTCCCTTCCTATTCTGCCATCTTGCCCTCCTCCCATTTCTGGCTTCTGTACCTCTGCTTGCTTGATAATGGCCAAGGCCACCAGACTATGGTTTCTCCTGTCTTGTCCTGGATGCAACCACAAGATAACACAGGTGGCACCAAGGTCAATGGCACCATGTTTGACCCTGACTTGGAACAATCAAATAATTAAATCATTACATTTTTCAATAAGGTTACAAAGAAACTGGCTGATTGGCTAAGTGCTTCTCCCTTCTGTATGTCTGAGTCTTGCTTGCACAATTCTGCACATGTAATTAAATGACTGATAAAAAGTAGGTTTTGCCTTTACAAACTCTCTGCACCTGCAACTCTCTGCTGGCTTCTCGAGACTTGCTCTGAGAGGGCAGTCACCAGCTGGACACTAAATATTCCTAATTTGACCTCAAAAGTCTCACTGTGTTTTTAATCTCTACACCCCAAAACTAAAGAAGCTCAGGTATGGATGTGGTTGTAGCTGTAGCTCTCCAGGGCCTGATGTCACAAAGGGAATGAAGTGCCCCTGGCACCAAGTGACACTTTCTTGGGGCTGGGAATCCACACACATCCCTGGTCACTATCAGTTTATGTTGGCTTTGGGCAAGCTGATGGAGACCCACCCAGCATCTCCAATAGCCAGGTCAGGTCTCTTAGGCCAGGTGGGTCTGTGAATCTTTGGCTGCTGTGCTGTGTTCCCTGTGTACTGCTGAGTGTGCCAGCCATGGAGAGAACCCCAGGGAGGCTCAAGAGCATCCACATTTCAGTCATTTCCACATTCCCTCACACTGACAGTTTGGTTGTAATCCCTGGGATTAGTGATGACTGGGTTTCATGGAGAATTGAAATAGTAAATCCTGACAACTTCAAGTCAACACAGAATTGACTCTGCAGCATGGGCCTTCCCCAGCATCATTCATTCTCCATTTGAATCAACTATTGGGTTGATCCTTGCAAGCTCACAACCCCGATGGACACATCACTTTGTTTCTCCAATGTGTTGGCCTTGAGGTGGTTGAGGAGAGTGTTCAGTTATACATAAGTCATCCCACAGAGCAGCTAGGGCAGGGACAGGCATGGAGAAGCACTGACTGAAGAAACATTAGTTGGGAACAGGAAACATGTCAGCTGGTTGGAGATATAACAGGAGCTTCAACTATGTTACTTTTGCACATGAATTGTTTCACATTTAAAGGATGGATAAAAAAGCCAACAATATTTTTTGTCACAACCACCACAAATGGAGTTAAGTATTGTAGAATCTGAGGTTGATATTATTATTATGACCATGTCACATGTGAGGAAATAAATCAGGTGGCAAGGAGAGACCTCTAGTGATCAGATTTTCAGGCTTGACCAAGGGGGCTTTCGTCAAGAATGGAAGGGCCCTGTGTTTTGTATTTCCTCACTTGTGCAGAATGGTGCACAAAAGAGACTTTGTCTAGTAGTGGTGGGAGGGCTGAAGGAGTCAAGGACAGAATTTGGGGAGTCAAAAATACAGGGTTGAACCATTTGGGAATTAGAGTGTTTATATTGGCAGTAGGTCTTACTCTTCCACAGACTTGGGAAGTAATGCTTACATCAGTGGTGCTTAGGAAATAGCAGCTATTTTCTTCAGGATTCGGGTTTACTTAGTTTTAACCTCACAGTCATCCTAACACAGGTTCCATTAACATTTCCACACCACAGGCAGGGAACTGAACAACAGAGCAGCTGAGGAACATCCTCAGGTACACGCAACATTGTCATCAGGCATCAGGAAGCTGTCCCCATTCTCTGGTTCAGTGCCTGATGCTGACTTTCTCCATCATCTCATGGAAATACAGCAACCGTTCTCTTATTTCACGGCACACCCAACTGCGAGAACTTACTCATTCCTGCTCTGACCCAGGTGGCTCCTCCAGGCAGCCCACAGTAAAGAGATCCATGATTGGGCCTGGGAAGAAATCATTTCTTATTTTGCCAAGAAGATGGCAACACCATTCTTGAGTGAATGCATTTCCTTTATCTTCCTACAGGAATACGAAGAACAGCAACAAAAAGACAACTCATTTGCCCCTCAACAGCCTTTTGTTCATTTGTTCCAGGACCACACCCATAGCACCAGCAGTAACCAAAACACACAGGTATTCAAGTCCCTTCTATAAAGTGCCCATGGGATTGGAAATAACTATGCACATCTTGCATGTGACTTAAGCCATCCCTGTGCCAATAAATCATTACAAATTGTACTGCCTAATACAATGTAAAGGCACTGAAAAGGAATATGTAGTTTAAGGAATAATGACAAGAAAGACCTCTACATGTTCTGTATAGATACAACTGTTTCTGAATATTTTCCAAGGTTATTGAATATGCCAATTGGGGCACATGTCTTTGGAGGTCACTGAGTTAAAAGATCCACATGGGGATTGATCTTTGAGGCGGAAAACTCATCACTGGCCCCATAGTCACCGAGCAGCACCAGAGTGGGCTCTGACAGGAGACCAGGATTAAGCTTCCAGTATCACCTCCTGTGACCTTTTACCACTGAAGTCACTGTGAGAACTGAATTGTTAAGGTGACTCAGGAGTGATGACTGTGGTCTGTATTCAGCCTACCATCTTCAGAGGCATACTGTACAGACATCTTAATTCATGTTCTTTTTACCAAAATAGAATTCTCACGTGATAAATTGACACATTTAGAGTGTATAGTATAGAGGCTGGCATAGTGGCATAAGAGGTTCAGCCACCACCTGCAATGTAGGCATCCCATATGGGTGCTGATTCTAGTCCTGCTGCTCCACTTCTGATCCAGCTCCATGCCAATGCTTCTGGGGAAACAGTGGGAGATGGCCCATGTGCTTGGTCTCCTGCCAGCCACATGAAAGATCTGGAGGAAGCTCCTGGCTTGTGGTTTCAGGCTGGCCCAGTCCTGGCTCTTACAGTCATCTGAGGGGACTGAACCAGTGGATAGATCTCCCTATCATTCTCCCCCTCTCTCTGTCACTCTGCCTTTCAAGTATATAAATCTTTAAAAATAAACAAAGCATACTGTTCACTGGGTTTTGGTATATTCAGGGTTTCCTGTCTTGTCATTTCAGTACTTTTCTCATCATCTCAAAGGGAAACACCATACTCCTTGCCAGAGAACCTCATTCTCTCCCCCTGCCTTGCCTTGGTAACCCTTATCTACCTCCTGTCTCTGTGGATTTATTTTCACTTCTGGCCATTTCATGGAGATAGAGTGTCACTTTTATGTCTGTTTTCTTTCAATAAGCAAAATATATCCAAGGTTCATCCATATTGTAGCATATATCCACACCTGATCCTTTTATGGCTGAGTAATATCTACGGTGTGAATGCAACATATTAATACTTTTCATTTATCACATACTGGGTAAATGGGTCACTTACACATTTGGCTACTATGTATACTGAGACTCTGAACTTTTCTGAGGAAGTGTCAAACTTTTAAGGGAGGGGCCGGCACCGTGGCTCACTTGGTTAATCTTCCAACCTGTGGTGCTGGCATACAATATGGGCGCCGGTTCTATTCCTGGCTGCTGCTCTTCCAGTCCAGCTCTCTGCTGTGGCCCAGGAAGGCAGTGGAGGATGGCTCAAGTGCTTGGGCCTCTGCACCTGTGTGGGAGACCAGGAAGAAGCACCTGACTCCTGGCTTTGGATAGGCACAGTTCCGGCTGCATTGGCCATTTGAAGAGATCACCAATGAAAGGAAGACCTTTCTCTCTGTCTCTCTCTTAAATTCTGTAACTCTACCTGTCAAATAAATAAAACAAATTAAAAAAAAACTTGTATGGGATTTTTAGAATAAAGTGTGAAGTTTAAATCCCACAACATTATTAGCAGTACTTCTTAAAAAAGGATTACAGCCATACCAGTGTTCATCTTCTCAGAGATACTTTGTGCATGACAGTTCATTCTGGAGGCCCTTGCATGTCTTTGTCTTTGCCTTCCAACTTACTAGGATGTGAATTTCTACTAGTGCAGTTCATTGAACTCCATGTATATTTTTGCATCCTATGATGTGTCAGCGATAGAGGCATGAGAGATATTCCAGCTGCTGATTGACTCCTCTGAAGTACTTTCTACAACTGTAAGATCACAGCTGGGAACTGGGTTCCCAATCCAAGTTTTCCCCATGTGTGGAATGAGCCCAACGACTTGGACCCTCACTGCTGCCTCCCAATATTCATAGGAGCAGGAAGCTGGAAAGAGGAGACAGAGCTAGGGAATCAAATTGAACCATTTCTTTGTTGGATATTGATGTCCTGTTTGCTTTATGACTAGGCCAAACACCCATGCGTATTTTGATTATTCTTGTTCAAAATGTTTAGGCAATTTGGGGACACAATTCATATATTCTTGCTGCCCCTGTCTCTCTCATATCCCTGTCTCTCTGGACTCTTTATGCATATGTGTTATGCTTGATGGTGTCCCACAGGTCTGTGAAACTATTGTTTGCTTATTATTATTCACTGGACTGGGCCATCTGCAGGGTCTGATCCACAGGTTTGGTGTTTCTTTTGCCTGTTCAAAGGCCTATTGTATGAGGAGTTTGTCCTCCAACGTTTAAGCCTTAGGGCTCAATGCCTGTGTAGGAGGCTTTCTGTGGAAATAAGGTGTTCACAGGTAGAGTCAGGGATGATGAGCTCATCCTGTGTCAGAGTGGGCCCTGATCCATTGCTGTTGTCCTTCCATTCCAGGCGAATGTGGATGTGGAAGGAAGAAGACTCTGATGGCACAGGCAGAGGCTGGGAAGTTTCAACTGCAAAGCAACAACCCAAGGGTGGAGGCAAGCGCCAGAAACTAGAAACAGGCCGTGGAGGACCGTATGCTGGAGCCTTCAGATAGAGCAGGGAGCAGCAGGCCTCTGACATCAGGCCCTGCCCTCCAGAACTGTGAGCAACCTTCCTGCTTTAAAGCCAGGCAGATGGCAGTAAGGAGCTATGGTGACTCGAGGAAGCTGGTACAGGCCCCTGCAGGGAGTTCTCAGTTGTTCTTTTGAATTCCAGAAACTTGAGTCACTCCTCTCATAAGATATATTCCCTTACTGTTATTTCCTATCCTGTGAAATACTTCTGTTGATGTTTGTAGTGCTTAACACATAGATTCCTTCACTAATTTGAGTATAGTGTGAACGCCGAGTGCTCTGGGCCTAGTGAGTTCCATGTCTGTACTTCCTCAGAGGTAGTGTCAGCTGGCTGCAGTTTTTCTTGGTGATTCTGCTTGTGTTGGGAGATCCTGATGCTGAGCACTCCCAGGGTCAGTGCTTCCTGTGGAGGCCCCCCTGGACTCAGAACAAGTTGTGACAACAAGAGTGACATTTGCCAGACAAGGTCCCAGAGTCTGATTGCCTAGGGTGTTCATTGGTGCCTTCTTCCCAGCCCATGGGTAGATTCTAGTACCCCAGGAGGAGCAAGAGGTTTGTGTATGTGAGAAGTCCAGCACCTCGAGCCTCTCTCATCAGAGAAGGGTGCACCTGTGCATTTCTAGATTCCCAGGAGTGTGCCAGAGCTTCCTGAGTCCCCTACAGACAATCATGACTTAGCTCTGCTGCAATATTGTTGGGTTAGTTTGTCCTTTATCTAAGGGAGTTGTCAACTACTTAGAGTATCCACAAAGTTAAGCAGTGGCTGTGATAGTTTTGAGAGTTTTGCTGGGGACCATTGTTTTTTTTTTAACTTTTATTTAATGAATATGAATTTCCAAAGTACGACTTATGGATTACAATGGCTTCCCCCTCATACCGTCCCTCCCACCCACAACCCTCCCCCCTCCCACTCCCTCTCCCCTTCCATTCACATCAAGATCCATTTTCAATTATCTTAACATAGAGAAGATCAGCCTAGCACACATTAAGTAAGGATTTCAACAGTTTGCTCCCACACAGAAACATAAAGTGAAAAATAATAGATGATTTTTTTAAATGATGATGAAATCAGATCAGACCTATTGTCATGTTTAATCCCAGTGAGAGTCAAGTTGGGAATTGATTTTTTTTTTTACAGAAGATCAGTTTAGTATGCATTAAGTAAAGATTTCAACAGTCTGCACCCCATAGAAACACAAAGTGAAATATATAGTTTGAGTACTCGTTATAGCATTAAATCCCAATGTACAGCACATTAAGGACAGAGATCCTACATGAGGAGTAAGTGCACCGTGACTCCTGTAGTTGACTTTACCAATTGACACTCCTGTCTATGGCATCAGTAATCTCCCTATGCTCCAGTCATGAGTTTCCAAGGCTATGGAAGCCCCTTGAGTTCTCCGACTCTTATCTTGTTTAGACACGGTCATAGTCAAAGTGGAGGTTCTCTCCTCCCTTCAGAGGAAGGTACCTCCTTCTTTGAAGACCTGTTGTTTCCACTGGGATCTCACTCACAGAGATCTTTTTGTCAGTGTCTTGGCTTTCCATGCCTGAAATACTCTCATGGGCTTTTCAGCCGGATCGGAATGCCTTTAGGGTTGATTCTCAGGCCAGAGTGCTATTTAGGACATCTGCCATTCTATGAGTCTGCTGAGTATCTCACTTCCCATGTTGGATCACTCTCCCCTTTATTTATTCTATTGGTTATTGTTAGCAGGCACTAGACTTGTTTATGTGATCCCTTTGACTCTTAGTCCTTTCATTATGATCAATTGTGAACTGAAATTGATCACTTGGAATAGTGAGATGGCATTGGTACATGCCACCTTGATGGGATTGAATTGGAATCCCCTAGTATGTTTCCAACTCTACCAATTGGGGCAAGTCAGCCCGAGCATGCCCCAAATTATACATCTCTTCCCTCTCTTATTCCCACTCTTATGTTTAACAGGGATCACATTTCAGTTAATTTTCAACACTTAAGAATAACTGTGTGATAATTACAGAATTAAACCAGTCATATTAAGTAGAACAGACAAAAAAAATACTAAGAGGGATAATGTATTAAGTTGTTCATTAACAGTCAGGGCTATGCTGATCAAGTCACCATTTCTCATAGTGTCCATTTCACTTCAACAGGTTTCCTTTTTGGTGTTCAGTCAGTTGTCACCGATCAGGGAGAACATATGGTATTTGTCCCTTTGGGACTGGCTTACTTCACTCAGCATGATGTGTTCCAGTTTCCTCCATTTTGTTGCAAATGACTGGATTTCATTGTTTCTTACTGCGGTATAGTATTCTAAAGAGTACATATCCCATAATTTCTTTATCCAGTCTACCGTTGATGGGCATTTAGGTTGGTTCCAGGTCTTGGCTATTGTGAATTGTGCTGCAATAAACATTAGGGTGCAGACCGCTTTTTTGTTTGCCAATTTAAATTCCTTTGGGTAAATTCCAAGGAGTGGGATGGCTGGGTCGAACGGTAGGGTTATCTTCAGGTTTCTGAGGAATCTCCAGACTGACTTCCATAGTGGCTTGACCAGTTTGCATTCCCACCAACAGTGGGTTAGTGTCCCTTTTTCCCCACATCCTCGCCAGCATCTGTTGTTGGTAGATTTCTGAATGTGAGCCATTCTAACCGGGGTGAGGTGAAACCTCATTGTGGTTTTGATTTGCATTTCCCTGATTGCTAATGACCTTGAGCATTTTTTCATGTGTCTGTTGGCCATTTGGATTTCCTCTTTCGAAAAATGTCTATTGATGTCCTTGGCCCATCTCTTAAGTGGGTTGTTGGTTTTGTTGTTGTGGGGTTTCTTGATCTCTTTGTAGATTCTGGTTATTAACCCTTTATCTATTGCATAGTTTGCAAATATTTTTTCCCATTCTGTCAGTTGTCTCTTCACTCTCCTGACTGTTTCTTTTGCAGTACAGAAACTGCTCAACTTGATGCAATCCCAATAGTTGATTTTGGCTTTGACTGCCTGTGCCTCCTGGGTCTTTTCCAGAAATTCTTTGCCTGTGCCAATATCTTGAAGGGTTTCTCCAATGTTCTCTAATAACTTAATCGTGTCAGGATGTAGATTTAGGTCTTTAATCCACGTTGAGTGGATTTTTGTGTAAGGTGTAAGGTAGGGGTCTTGCTTCATGCTTCTGCATGTGGAAATCCAGTTTTCCCAGCACCATTTATTGAATAGACTGTCTTTGCTCCAGGAATTGGTTTTAGAACCTTGGTCAAATATAAGTTGGCTGTAGATGTTTGGGTTGATTTCTGGTGTTTCAATTGTGTTCCATTGGTCTATCCATCTGTTTCTGTACCAGTACCATGCTGTTTTGATTACAACTGCCCTGTAGTATGTCCTAAAATCTGGTATTGTGATGCCTCTGGCTTTGTTTTTGTTGTACAAGATTGCTTTAGCTATTCGAGGTCTCTTGTGCCTCCATATGAATTTCAGCATCATTTTTTCTAGATCTGTGAAGAATGTCTTTGGTATCTTGATTGGGATTGCATTGAATCTATAAATTGCTTTTGGGAGAATGGACATTTTGATGATGTTGATTTTACCAATCCATGAGCATGGAAGATTTTTCCATTTCTTGGTATCCTCTTCTATTTCTTTCTTTAGGATTTTGTAATTCTCATCGTAGAGATCTTTAACGTCCTTGGTTAAGTTTATTCCAAGGTATTTGATTGTTTTTGTAGCTATTGTGAATGGGATTGATCTTAGCAGTTCTTTCTCAGTCATGGCATTGCTTGTGTATACAAAGGCTGTTGATTTTTGTGCATTGATTTTGTATCCTGCCACTTTGCCAAACTCCTCTATGAGTTCCCATAGTCTCTTAGTGGAGTTCTTTGGATCCTCTAAGTAAAGGATCATATCATCTGCAAAGAGGGATAGTTTGACTTCTTCCTTCTCAATTTGTATTCCTTTGATTTCTTTTTCTTGTCTGATGGCTCTGGCTAAAACTTCCAGAACTATGTTCAATAGCAGTGATGAGAGTGGGCATTCCTGCCTGGTGCCAGATTTCAGTGGAAATGCTTCCAACTTTTCCCCATTCAATAGGATGCTGGCTGTGGGTTTTTTATAAATTGCTTTGAATATATTGAGGAATGTTCCTTCTATTCCCAATTTGCTTAGAGTTTTCATCATGAAAGGGTGTTGAATTTTATCAAATGCTTTCTCTGCATCTATTGAGATAATCATATGGTTTTTCTTTTGCAGTCTGTTAATGTGGTGAATCACATTGATTGATTTGCGAATGTTGAACCATCCCTGCATACCAGGGATGAATCCCACTTGGTCTGGGTGGATGATTTTCCTGATGTATTGTTGTACTCTATTGGCCAGAATTTTATTGAGGATTTTTGCGTCTATGTTCATCAGGGATATTGGTCTATAATTTTCTTTCAGTGCTGCATCTTTCTCTGGCTTAGGGATTAAGGTGATGCTGGCTTCATAGAAAGAATTGGGGAGGATTCCCTCTTTTTCAATTGTTCTGAATAGTTTGAGAAGAAATGGAATCAGTTCTTCTTTAAATGTCTGGTAGAATTCAGCAGTGAATCCATCCGGTCCTGGGCTTTTCTTTGTTGGGAGGTCCCTTATTACTGTTTCAATTTCTGTCTCAGTTATGGGTCTATTTAGGTTTTCTATGTCTTCATGGTTCAATTTAGGTAGATTGCATGTGTCCACGAATATCCATTTCTGATAGGTTTTCCTGTTTGCTGGCATACAAATCATTGTAGTAATTTCTTATGATTCTTTTTATTTCTGTGGTGTCTGTTGTTACGTTTCCTTTTTCATCTCTGATTTTATTGATTTGGGTCTTTTCTCTTCTTTTTTTAGTTAGTTGGGCCAATGGGGTGTCAATTTTGTTTATTTTTTCAAAAAATCAGCTTCTCGCTTGGCTGATTTTTTGTAGTGTTTTTTTTTTTTTGATTCAATCCTGTTAATTTCTTCTCTGATTTTAATTATTTCTGTTCTCCTAATAGATTTGAGTCTGGTTTGCTGCAGTTTTTCTAGGTCCTTGAGATGCACTGAAAGCTCATTTATTTGGTACCTTCCAATTTCTTGATATAGGCACCTATTGCTATAAATTTGCCTCTCAATACTGCTTTTGCTGTATCCCATAAGGTTTGATATGTTGTGTTGTTGTCTTCATTTACTTCCAGAAAGTTTCTGATGTCTCTTTTGATTTCTTTAATGACCCAGTGTTCATTCAGGAGCATGTTGTTCAGTCTCCATGTGTTTGCATACTTTCTGGGGTTTCCTGAGTTGCTAATTTCCAGCTTCATTCCACTGTGGTCTGAGAAGCTGCAAGGTATGTTTCTAATTCTTTTAAATTTGCTGAGACTTGCTTTATGGCCTAGTATGTGATCAATCCTAGAGAAGGTTCCATGCGCTGTTGAGAAGAATGTGAAGTCTTTAATGTAGGGTTGAATGTTCTGTAGATATCTGTTAGATCCATTTGGGCAATAGTGTCGATTAAATCTGCTGTTTCCTTGTTGATCTTCTGGCCGGATGATCTGTCTATTTCTGAGAGTGGAGTATTGAAGTCCCCTAGTACTATTGTATTGGAATCTAAATGTCCCTTTAAGTCCCTTAACATATCTTTTAAATAGACCGGTGCCCTGTAATTAGGTGCATATTCATTTATAATAGTTACATCTTCCTGTTGAATTGAACCCTTAATCATTATATAGTGCCCCTCTTTGTCTCTCTTAACAGTTTTTGTATTAAAGTTTATTTTGTCTGATATTAATATGGCTACACCTGCTTTTTTTGGTTTCTGTTGGCATGGAATATCTTTTTCCAACCTTTCACTTTCAGTCTGCATGCCTCTTTGTTAGAGAGATGTGTTTCTTGTAGGCAACAAATAGTTGGGTTGTGTTCTTTGAGCCAGTCAAACGGTGTCTTTTAACTGAAGAATTCAGACCATTAATGTTCAATGTGACTATTGATAGGTAGTGACTTTGCCCTGCCATTTTCCCGGAGATATTTTCTAGTATATGCTTTGAGCTTCCCATGCTCTTTTACTGGTGGGTGTTCTTCCTTTCCCTTCTTTCATATTGATGGCTGTGTTTCTGTGTTTCTGAGTGTAGCACATCTTTAAGTATCTTTTGCAGGGCCAGACAAGTGGCCACAAAGTCTTTCAATTTCTGTTTGCTATGAAAGGTCTTTATTTCACCTTCATTCACAAGTGAGAGCTTGGCAGGATATAATATTCTGGGCTGGCAATTTTTCTCTCTTAGCACCTGTGCTATGTCTCGCCATTCCCTCCTAGCCTGTAGTGTTTCTGCTGAGAAGTCTGCTGTGGATCTGATTGGAGATCCTCTGAGAGTAATCTGATGTTTCTCTCTTGCACATTTTAGGATCTTTGCTTTATGTTTCACTGTAGTAAGTTTAATTACCACGTGTCATGGCGAGGATCTCTTTTGGTCATTTTTATTGGGGCTTCTATGAGCTTCCTGTACTAGGATGTCTCTGTCCTTCTCCAAACCTGGAAAGTTCTCTGCTAGTATCTCACTAAAAAGGCCTTCTAATCCTTTCTCTCTCTCCATGCCTTCAGGAACTCCTAGAACTCGAATGTTGGTTTTTTTAATAGTATCCTGTAGATTCCCAACAATATTTTTTAGATTTCTGATTTCCTCTTCTTTTCTTTGGGTTGACTGTATCCTTTCCCGTTCTCTGTCTTCTAAGTCCGATATTCTCTCTTCTGCTTCACCCATTCTGTTTTTAAGGCTTTCTAATGTGTTTGTCATTTGATCTATTGAGCTCTTCATTTCATTTTGATTTCTCTTCAGTATCACACTTTCCTGTTCTACTAGTTTCTGCATTTCATTTTGATTCTTCCTTAAAATTTCATTTTCACGAGAGAGATTTTCAATTCTGTCCAATAAGGATTTCTGTAGTTCAAGGATTTGCTTTTGAAAACTTCTAATTGTTCTTATAAATTTTTTGAAATCCGTATCTTGCATTTCTTCTATCTCATCATCTTCATAATCTTGGTTTGGGGTGTTTTGTTTATTTGGAGGCATCATAGTGTCATCATTGATCTTGTTCCCTCGATTTCTGTGTTTGTTGCTTGGCATAGTTAATTCTTGTTACGTCACTGTGCGTTTTTTTTTAAATTTTTATTTTATTTTATACTATGTCCGTGTTAAGTGGACTGCCTGCTGTTGGAGGAGCCTTGGAGGCTTGAGATGGGTGCGGCCTGAGAGCTCTGCTAAGGGTGTGCAAATGTGACACCCTCAGGTTATGCATGGTAAATCTCTCTCTATTTATTTATTTATTTATTTATTTATGTATTTTATTCAGGGGGTAAGTAACACTGCACGGCACTGCTTCTCCCCACAGTCTGTTTAGGCTCCTCTGGACTCCCACTGGGTTGCCTAGGCTACTGAATTGTAGTGATTCAGTTCCTTAGCTCTCCGCTGTTGATATGTAAATCCAGAGACAGGGCCTGCTCTTTGTCTCTTGGGAATTCTTCAAGCCTTGAGAGAGAAACCCCCAAGCTCTTTTTTTTTTTCCTTCTTTCAGGTAGTGAGTTTGCTGCACTTTCCGGCCCCCCTCTAGATTCTGACCCCCGTTTCCCCGCGAATGTCTCGGGTTATTGAGCTCACCTCCCCTTCCAGCTTGATGTGTGGACTCCAAGCCCTGGACATCGGAACTCTCCCCACTGTTGTCTGTGTTTTTTCATGCACTCTCATTCCCGCACTGGCGCGCAGACCCTGCGGCTTCCACGGCACCCGCGGTTCGGCTTCCACGTGGTGGGCGACCTTGTTCTCCCAGTAGGTCCTCCGATTCACAGCCACTCAATCCAGAAGAGTTTACTCTGCAATATTTTCCTGGTTCTTTTTCTGAGGCTACCGTAACTCCCCTTTTATTAAACTAAATTTTCCCGGACTATCAGTGCGCGCCCTTACTATTCCACCATCTTGGCTCCGCCCCCCTGGGGACCATTGTTCTTATCACCTTGGACAAGCTCAAGGTCAGGTCAAGTTCAGCCTAGAAAGTGGGTTCTTCCCGAAGGCAGCAGACTCCTCAGAGAGTGCTCATTCTCTATGAATAAGGCTTTGGGGAAGCCACAGACTGATTGTGCTCCCGGCAGTGGCTGCCCACTGCTGGTTTTCACCATGAACGTGGGCTTCCGTTTTCTGTGTTCCTGTGGAACTGCAGAGCAGCAGGTTGTACTCAGGACAGGGAGACTGCCACCAACCCCCTGTTCTTCCTGAGAGTCAGCTGTGCTTTGTTTTTCTGTGCTCGGTACTACCTGGGTTCCTGCAGATGTTGGGTTAGTTTCCAGGATTCTTGAAATGTTAATGGCCTTTTGGCCCTTTTCCCTTTTGTGCTGGATGGGCTTGCTGCCCCTGCACCTTTGGGTGTGTGGTCTTCAGGCCACCTGCTCCATGCTTCCTGGCCTGCATACTCCTCCACATGGTGGCTAGTGGTGTTCGGTATGAATCCAGATTTCTCTGTCTTTTTTAGATAGGGCCCTCACTCTCCTATGCATTTCTCCCACTGAATCAAAAGATTAAAAACTTACAAAATGTTAATGGTGACTGTTTTTGGCAGGTTTCTCACTGATTTATTGGAGGGGAGAATTGGAGGGCTTTCAGCTGCTGTTTACTATACAGTCATCTACTTCTCCTTTTTGTGGCAATTGTAAGGATATAGCACATAACTGACTACCCTTGGGAGCTTGTGACTGTCAGAATATGCTGTAAATTCTCTCTCAGAGTGAAGGGCCAGAGCGCTCAGGTGATGAAGATATTTAGATGTGTGTGGAGCTGCTAAAGGGCTGTGGACTCCCTCAGACAATGACAGAGGACATGGGTCCCATGTTGAGACGTCATGGTCCCAGCCTAACTTGGAAGTGCAGAGGCTGAAGTGGATGAGAGCAGCAGTGAGGCTGAGGGCACAGTGAAGAACCTAAGCAGCCACGTCCTGTGCAAGATCTTGAGGAGAGCAAAGGAGGTGGAGGAGGGGGAGAAGGGGCTGGGAGGGGCAGGACAGGGGTCACTGGCCCATGGGGTTGAGTCATGGCTTCTCCCATTCTGCCTTTCTCCAGTGCCTTCCACGACCAGTGGAGATGTCTTTGATCTCTGTCTTCATTGCTCTCTTCAGAGGTTCCATCAGCTTTGGACAGCTCTATAGGCTAGATGAGTTGGTGAGTGTTCTGTTCTCTTTGGCAGCTCCTTTGTTTTCAGAAACACACAGGTGATTCTGTAGAAATAGACCCTAAAAATCCTTCAGCCTCATCAGGATTTCACCAGCTTTACATGCACGTGTGTGTGTGTGTGTGTGTGTGTGTGTTGCTGTATGAAATACATCAGCTCAGTAATACGGTGCTAGAAAAAGAAGATCCATGTAGGAAATGGCATACTAAGAAGGTAGCTGGAGGAAGGAGATTGACAACCATGCACACAGCAAGAATAGTTCTAAGTAGCACAAAAACAGGTGGATAAATGTGCGTAGTATTGTCCTCTGAATAATAGAGTAGTTATGTCCCCTAGCAATTCCACTGCTGGTGATATGAGGAAATTTAGAATTCAAGGACAGTGGGATTTAAAGATACACCTAAAATATATACTTTGTCAATAGAAGGTAGTTAAAGTTCCAGACATTTTTGTGATAAAACAAACACTTAGTTCTTTCCTCAATAACTAAGGATCTTGGCAATTTGGCCACATCCATGGAGTCTTCCAGTTTGTATTTTTTAAAAGATAGGTAGATCTATTTATGTATTTATTTGAAAGGCAGAGTTAGAGAATGAGAGAGAGAATCCAGTCTCCCATCCACTGGTTCACTCCTGAAATGGCCACAATGGCTGGAATTGTGCCTTTCTGAAGCCAGGAGCTTCTTCCATGTCTCCCATGTGGGTGCAGGGGCCCGAGTACCAGAACTGTCATCTGCTGCCTTCCCAGGTGCAATAGCAGGGAGCTGCATTGGAAATAGAACAGCCAGATGTTGAACCAGTGCCCTTAGGGGATGCCAGCACCACATGTGGCAGCTTTCCTCACTATGCCACAGTGCCAGCTCAGTTCTTCCACTTCTTTTTTTAATAAATCTTTTTTTATGACAGGCAGAGTGGACAGTGAGAGTGAGACAGAGAGAATGGTGTTCCTTTTGCTGTTGGTTCACACTCCAATGGCTGCTGCGGCCGGCGCGCTGCGGCAGACACACCGCACTGATCCTATGGCAGGAGCCAGGTGCTTATCCTGGTCTCCCATGGGGTGCAGGGCCCAAGCACTTGGGCCATCCTCCACTGCACTCCCTGGCCACAGCAGAGAGATGGCCTGGAAGAGGGGCAACTGGGACAGAATCCGGTGCCCCGCCCGGGACTAGAACCCGGTGTGCCGGCACAGCAAGGTGGAGGATTAGCCTAGTGAGCCGTGGCGCCAGCTTACATTTCTTTACTGAAGAAAAATCGGTCACCTTCACAGATATTGGAAGAGGCAGGTTTTCAGCACAGCACCCGATGCTGCTTGGGACATGCACATCCCTTGTCAGAGTGCCTGAGGTTGATTTCCTGTCCTACTTCTGATTAATTTTCTTCTAATGTGCACCCTGGGAGGCAGCAGGTGATACTGGGTGCTGTTGGTTGCCTGTGATTCAGGTAAGAGACCCAGAGTGCCTTCCTGTCTGCTGGCTGTGGCTTGGCTACAACTGGGCTGCTGTGGATATTTGCAGGGTGAACCTGCAAAAGAGATGCATCTTGATCTCTTTCTAAAGATTTTATTTATTTATCTGAGAGGCACAGTAATATTAAGGGGTGGGGGGTTGTTTTCGAGATACTCCATCTACTGGAGATGCTCCATCCATTGATTCCCTTCTCAAATGGTTAAACTTGTGAGAGCTGGGCTGATCTGAAGCCATGAGCCAGGATCTTAGGACCTCTCCTTCCTTCCTGTTTCAAATGGGGATGGGATGGGAATAGCAATGGGAGCAGCAGAGCTCAGGCAGCAGCTGTTTGTACTGCAGAGACTGTTAGTAGCCCCAGTTGACATGTTGGACACTGAGGCCCAGACCCACCAAGTACCTCTCTCATGGTGGGGGTCTGCAATCCATACTCTTAGCTGTCAGCTGAACTTGTAACTGCACCCTCCTGTCAGTGAGGTTGGAGGGAGGAGGAACTGAATGTGGTGTTGCCGGCAAAGCCTTGACATAAAGGAGCTGCTGAGGAATGACAGCTGCCTTGAGGTGTGGCCCTTGTCTGCTGTCAGGTTGTTTCCTGTGTGCTCTGGAGAGCAGTGGTTGGCCCTGGTAGAGGTGAGTTTGGACAAATGTGCAGAGGTGCGAACCTGTTCTAGATGATGGACAGAATCGACTGCTTAGGGCTGAGCTAAGACCTCCCTGTGTCTTGCTGGTGAAGCCAGGCCCTTGCTTTTCTGGGTGGTGCTTTGTTTTTGACATGTCACCATGTCTGTACCCAGGATCATTCAGTGCAGTTGTCCGAGGCTTAAAGCATTCAGTCCTTAGGTCTTTATTCCAGGGACTGGAAAATAGGGAGTATGAGAGAGAAGGTTGAATCCTCTGAGCACAGTAGTAATTCCTGTGAGTGGGATGCATGTGCAGTGACAAGGAATTCAGGGAGTGCCCTGAGAGGTCCAGCCTCGGTCTTGATAGATATTTGCCCTGAAGGTGGTTTGGTGAATGGGCATCCCAGTGTCAAGCAAAAGATCAAAATGTAAAACCAGGTGAGAAAACTTCAGACTCCTTGGGGAGGAAATGAGGGAAAAGCTGAATTCACCTTGTTGCAGAAAGAATTTAAGTCCATGTGTCAGTTTACTCATAATATGCATTTTCCATGACCTTTTGAAGTCCCTTCATAAAGGAACTGCTGGAAGTAGCTCGTATAGACATCTTTCCTTAGTGTGGTGTGTTCATTGCCATCAGTGACCTATACTGATGCTTTATTATTCACTAAAGGCCACAGTTTATTCAAATTCCTTAGCTGTACCCACGTCTGTTTTCTGTACCAACACTACATCCAGAATTTAGTCTCAGACTCTTCATGTTTTTCTTATAGAATCTATTTCCTACTTTGAAATGTACACACACCCACTCACATGCACACTCTCTCTCTCTCTCTCTCTCACACACACACACACACAGAGAGAGAGAGAGAGAGAGAGAGAGATCTCAAGACCTTCTATCTGCTAATACAAATACAAAGGTGGGACTGGGCCTGACTGAAGCCAGAAACTCCATCCTGTGCTCCCACATGGATGACAGGAACCCAAGCACTGAGGTCATCACCTGGGCCTCCCAGGGTGCACGTGTGCAGGAAGCTGGATCAGAAGCAATGGTGGGACTCTATCTCAGGAAATCCAATATGGAATGGGGGCATCCCAAGCAGATGGCAAATCTATTGTACTGCAATGCCTATCTCCTTAGACCTGACTTGATTATGATGAGATTGATGTCTTGAGAAGTCCAGGCCACAGATTGATGGATGCACCTGCCCTGGCATGTATGTGGGACTAGGTATTTCCTAGATATGTCCAGGTTATGCAGCATGGTTTGGGGTTTGATTTCTGTGAGAGAGAGCAAGAAGGAAGATGACAGCATTCCAGGCATGTGGGAAGTGGGCCATAGGAAAGAAGATCTGAGTATGGCTGTTTCCATCTCTTATTGCAGCTCTCCTAATAATTAAAATGAAAATAAGTTTTTAAAAACTTTGTTAGCCCTTATTTTAGCAAAGATTGCCCCCCCCCCGGAGTTTTCTCCTCTCTAGCATGTGCACATTGTGCCCCCAGAAGTTGACCTATTA